AAACCCACCAGCTGCTCCGTGGAAGGAAGATGGGGCAATCTACTTCTGTAAAGATACAGCTTCAGAAACCCAATGGGGGTCGCTTTGAGTTAGAATTGACTCGATGGCAGTGAGTTTTTGTTTTGTTTTGTTTTTAAAGTATCATCCACGTACCTTGCCGCTGTCCCAGCATGCTTGCTTTGCCTTACTGCCCTCTCTATATAAAGGTCTTTTCCTGGAAGGAAAATCCAAATACTCGTCATGTCATCATACCTTAGGGTGGAACAGCTTTTGTGAAAATCCAGTATTGTAAACTAGATTTGATGATGGTTCATCTATATCAGTTGGAATAGTGTGACCTCTCCCAGAGTTGTATTTAATGACTTCAGAATTCATTGGTCTCATCTGATAATACTGTTTCTGCTTTAACAGGTTTTTGTCCTAACAGGAAACTGACATGTCCTTATCTTGTTTATTGTTTCAGATTGTAAATCAAATGCCCAGAATGAGAAATCAACAGATAAGCAGCCAAGTTCTGAAGAAGACTCTCATACAGGATTCCCAAGGGATATTACTACCATGATTACTGATAATAAACATGAGGCTGTGTTAGAAAGGCAACAGGTAAACCTTGAAAGCGAAAGAAGAAAATCTCCTCTCCAAGACCTAGGTTCCAAGGAGGTCACCGAATTATTTCCTATTAATCTCACCAAAAGAGAGAAACGTTACATATGTGCCGAGTGTGGAAAAGCCTTTAGTAATAGCTCAAATCTTACGAAGCACCGGAGAACACACACTGGGGAGAAACCTTATGTATGTACCAAGTGCGGGAGAGCTTTCAGCCACAGTTCAAACCTTACCCTTCATTACAGAACACACATGGTGGACCGGCCCTATGACTGCAGCAAGTGTGGGAAAGCCTTCAGTCAGAGCTCAGATCTCCTTAAACACCAGAGGAGTCACAGTGGAGAGGCACCGTATCAGTGTAAAGACTGTGGGAAATCTTTCAGTGGTAAAGCCAGCCTGATTCGTCATTATCGAACACACACTGGGGAGAAGCCTTATCAATGTAACGAATGTGGGAAGAGCTTTAGTCAGCACGCAGGTCTTAGTTCACATCAGAGACTCCACACTGGAGAGAAGCCGTACAAATGTAAGGAATGTGGTAGAGCCTTCAACCACAGCTCCAATTTTAACAAACATCACAGAATCCATACTGGGGAGAAGCCCTATTGGTGTACTAATTGTGGGAAAGCCTTCTGTAGTAAGTCAAATCTTTCCAAACATCAGAGAGTCCACACTGGAGACGGGGAAGTACTATAACTGTCAAATATGCACCACCACCCCCTTTTTTTTCCTAAACCTTGTACTATGAATGCTGGGGGCTCTGGTGGCATAGTGCTAACCAGAAGGCTGGTGGTTCAAACACACCAGCCACTCCTTGGAAGGAAGATTGGGCAACCTACTTCTATAGAGATACTGCCTCAGAAACCCAAGGAGGAGTTGCTGAGTCAACTCGACTCCATGGCAGTGAGTTTTGTTTTTATGAATGCTAGGGAAAAATCCAGTAATTGCAGTATAAACTGGTGGTAGACTCACCATCAAGGAGTACCTGAGGAGTGAGAGCTCAAGCATGGAACAGTAGGAAAGCCTTCAGAGAGCCTCAGCGTGTTCCTCACCTGCCATCTCCCTCACCATATTTCAGGTCCCAGTTGACCATACTGGTATTACCGTTTGTAGAGTTAAAGTGGTGTGTGCTGAATCGGTGTCACCTTCCTGGGTGGACAGGGTTGGCCAGCAAACCACACTCTGGAAGGGGAGGGAAGGGGTGGTGATGGTAAGGAGTTGCCATACTGGGTGACGAAGTGACACCAATCCTAGTGATGCCACTGCCTTGGTGGCCTGTTCCCTAAGGTACCAGCTCTTCCACCACCACTGCTGCCACAGACACTGGAATCATTTTGGTGTCATCCCCTCTGACAGTGTCAGGGGGTGTAATCTGCACCTCCCACATTTCCCTAATAACACCACTGTGCCAAATACAATTAAAGGAGAAACTTTTTTTTTTTTTT